TCCTCAGTGCCTGGTGACACCAACTCCTGGCTGATTTCCATGTGTGTGTGTTAAACACACACATTTTTGTTACCTGGTATCCAAAGTGATGGAGGGGTTGGGGATGGGACCTTTGCCAGTGAAGAAGGGGTTGAAAACCGATCAAAATGGGGCAGACTAAAAGGCAGAGTCCCTAGAGTCTGTTAGTCCAGTGCAATGACTGGGATGCATAAGGGCAACCCTGAGCCATGCAGGACAGGGACGGGTCCCCCCTGCCTAGGATGCACCTTTGCAGGGACCATTCCTGCACTCAGGAAAGCAGGGTGAAGCAGTGTCAAGGCACATTGCAGGTACCCTTGCAGCCTGTCTGGCTCAAACTCAACAGCCCAAGTCAGCCCACAGGGCTTCTGCCTGGATCCCAGCACCACCAGGACTCGGGGCCAACCTGTGTACACGTGCACTCCCTTGCTCAACCAAGTTTAACAGCCCTGAAGACCAACCCCAACCCAGGGGTCACATGCTGCTACCTCCTTCATCTCTTCTGCTTGGACTAGAGTGAATTTGTTTTAAACAGAAATATACCTAGATGCCCATCAGCAGACGAATGGATAAGGAAGCTGTGGTACATATATACTATGGAATATTACTCAGCCATTAAAAAGAATTCATTTGAATCAGTTCTAATGAGATGGCTGAAACTGGAGACCATTATACAGAGTGAAGTAAGCCAGAAAGATAAAGACCAATACAGTATACTAATGCATTTATATGGAATTTAAAAAGATGGTAACGATAACCCTATATGCAAAACAGAAAAAGGCACATAGATGTACAGAACAGACTTTTAGACTCTGTGGGAGAAGGCGAGGGTGGGATGTTCTGAGAGAATAGCACTGAAACAAGTATACTATCAAGGGTGAAACAGATCACCAGCCCAGGTGGGATGCATGAGACAAGTGCTCAGGGCTGGTGCACTGGGAAGACCCAGAGGGATGGGATGGAGAGGGAGGCAGGAGGGGGGATCGGGAAGGGGAACACATGTAAATCCATGGCTGATTCATGTCAATGTATGGCAAAAACCACTACAATATAAAAAAAAAAAAACTAAAATATTTTTAAAAATTCAAAATGCTTTAAAAAATCTAAAAAAAAAAAAAACAAACAGAAATATAATCCACATATTCGTCGGCAGTGGCTCAGATGTTAAAGATTCTGCCTCTGATGCAGGAGACCCAGGTTCAATCCCTGGGTCAGGTAGATCCCCTGGAGAAGGGAATGGCAACCCACTCCAGTATTCTTGCCTGGAGAATCCCATGGACAGAGGAGCCTGGGGGGCTACAGTCCCCGGGGTCACAAGAGTTTGACATGACTGAGCGACTAAACAACACAATAATCCACATACCACCCACCTTTTTAAAGTATACAATTTAGTGTTCCTGGTACATTCACAAGGTTCTACACCCACCACCTCTATCCACTTCCAGAACATTTCCATCACCCTGAAAGGAAACTATTCAGCAGTACCTATTCAGCAGTCACTTTTCATTCTCCTCAGACCCCGGCAACCACTAATCTACTTTTTGTCTCTATGGATTTGTCAACTCTGGACATTACGTCTAAATGGAATCATGCCATGTGTGCGCTTTGGTGTCTGGCTTCCTTCATTTAGTATATTTTCAAAGTTTGCACTACATAATTTTTGCAATAATAGTTACTGACACAGAACTCACTTGGAGCCAGGTGCTGTGCTAAGTGCTTCATCCATTTGTCCTCGTTTAATCGTAATAACAATCCCATGAGGCAGATGGTGATATTATCCCCATTTTCTAGATGAGGAAACTGAGGCACCAAGAAGTTAAGTGACTTGCCCTGCATCATGGTAGTTCTGGCTGGGCAGGCTGGCTCTGCAGCCCTCTTGGCTGGGCTACTTCTTAAAAAAAAAAAAAACAAACCACAGGCTTTTTTGGGGGGGTCGAGGTATGTGGCACCTTAGCTCCCCAAGCAGGGACTGAACCTGTGTCCCGGACATTGGGCTCAGAGCCTTAACCACTGGACCACCAGGGAAGTCCCTGGGCTACCTCTCTTTAAGGTAGCAGGCACTTGGCTATTTGCCAACAGGCTCATCACAAATTCTTCACCACGTCTCACATTTCTGGGACCTGCTCCACCCCTGGGTAGATCTGCATTTACAATCCCTCCTTTGCTTATGCAGATAAACCTGAATTCAAGTCCAAAACCTTACTTGACCACGTGTTTTTCATCAGAGCTATGGGTTACCACTCAGTTCCTTTTCAAGGCTGTATGCAAACAGCCACTGTGGGGTAGTTAGGAAGTGTAAATGTGTGAGGCACTAAGGGCCTGGCACGTGGAAGACACGGTGGGAGTGGAGCCTTTGTGCGACTGTCACCCACCTGTACCACTGAGATCCTTCTCCCAGAAAGTCAAAAGCACAGCTTCCAATTTCTGTCGGTACAGACAGGTGACATACCTGTCCTCAATTTCTCAAAACTAGTAAAATACACAGTGGACTAAAAACCCAGTAATTAAATTAAAACAGGAATGCCTTGTTAACCACCTTCTCAACTCCGGGGGCTTAAAGTCTGTCTTGACATGTCAGAGCCTGGAAGGATTTCACACAGTGTTTCGAGGTTCTGAGCATTTTCTGAGTCCTGCTGGGCTCTCTAAATCACACTTCATTACTGAGGACCAGAACCAAGAAGAAAATGGCTCTTGAGCAAGCCCACCTGATCCACCACTTTGGGGCTTCCGGAGAGTCAGTGGGGACCTGAGACCAGCTCTGAAACTGAAAGTGCTTGGATCCCCCGAGGGGACCACCAATGAAAAACCCAGATTTTTCACCTTATTCTGCACAAAAGAACCAGGGAACTGAGTCCCTACCTTGAAACAAAAGATTGTTCTGGTTCAGCATTAATTAAAATGTAAAAAGATCTCTAGGAGGCCATCCTAAGTGGGTGGGATCCTGGGTCTCCAGGGGCCTCTCATCTGGTAAGTGGGGATAATACCTAAGAAGCCAAACTCCTGGGGCAGTTAAATATACATATATGTATTTATGAAGTGTGTATATATATACATATACATATATACGTATATGAAGCGGTACACAGCAAACACTCAGGAGATGGGAGCTGATGGAAGCAGGGCTGCAAATTTGAGGTGACACATGCCTGGTTCGCTCAAGATACCTTCCTGAGTTGTTAGGCATTATACTGATGAGCAAACTGGATGAGCAAACCAAGCCATGTTCTGGCTTTCCCAAGGGCACTTGGCCAGTAAGGCGTAGGAGGGCCGCCTCCAGGTGTAAAGGCATTATGCCTAGCGGTTAAAAGCAAGAACTGGAATTAGACAAGCCTGGAATCAAATTTCAGCTCTGCCACCTGAGGCAAGTTACTTCACCTGTGTGCCTCTGCTTCTTCCTCTGTAAGCAGGTTGCACCCCTTCACAATTTCCTCCACCACTCTATAAGTCACCCAGTGTAACCCATAATGGTGAAAACCTGAGGTCCGATCATTTAAATTCCTCATCTTCTCAATGTGCCTACCATGTTGAAGACTTGCAGAAGACAGCCTTGAAGGCAGTATCCTTTTTCTAACTTTTTTGGGCTTCCACTTCCAGCTGTTCCATATCATTAGATGCACGTCAATCAAGTGATCAAACTTTTTTGCCACAAATGGATCATAAGCAAAAATAAAAACTGTAACTCCAAAGGAAAAAAGGAAACAAAAGTCAACAACCCTGTAATCTGCTTTGTTTTGCTTCACTGTGCTGACAACATAATATATAGACTATGATCAGTCTGTGCTCATTTTCTCCCCCACCAAGACGTCAGCTCCACAAGGACAGAGCTTGAAGTTGGTCCACTGCTGCAGCATCTGTGTCTAGAATGGCACCTTTGTAGAATGCTGAATGGTTCTTCTTGTCTACACTCCAGGAGGGTTGACCACATGAGAAACATTTCTGTATCTTTTGCAAACTGCTTTGGACTGTCTACTGTTTTCCAGTGTTGCTTATAAGTAAAATAACCCGCACTAGAATGCAGTTATAGGACACGATTTTGTTTTTGCTGAGCTCATGTGTTTTTCACTAGCTTAATCTGCCTTTGTGTCAGGAGAGCTCAGAGCACAATTCTACGCTCAACTCCAATGTTTTCCTCAACGTCTTTTTCTGAAGTGGAAATGAGATAAGCAAGCATAAGAACATTCTGCTGGGACTCCTTGGCGACCATTTTTAACCACAGGCTGCTTGTCAAACTTGAATGTGCCTGTGACCCGGGGATGTAGTAAAAGCAGAATCTGACTCAGTAGGTCAGGGGCGGGGCCTGGGATGCGGCATCCCTCACTGGTCCCAGGTGATGCTGCTGCGGGTCTTGGACCGTGTGATGAGTCGCGAGGGTCTAAGAAACTTGCTTTCTTGATCTGGTAGACTTACTCTCTCCTTCTCCTGGACAAAACATCACCAATGGCTCGAAAACTGGAACGAGTACCAGAAGCAGCTGCGGGTGCTCGTCAGACTTCCACACCGCCGTTCCCTATCCACCCACCCCCCATCCCCGCCAAGATCCTGACAAAGTACGAGCAAGCACCGGAGGCTCCTCGGGTGCTTCTGATGCAGGTGGCCAAGAAACACCTTTGGAGAAGCCTTGCTCAAGGGAACGAGTGCTCTCTTCGTTTTCCCAACGGCAATCTCCCGGGGACAGCTGCTGTCACTGGTGGAGACACCCTGTTCAAGATTTTAAGGAGGGACTCTCCCGCTCTTTGTAGCCGGGCACCAGGAGGGGTCCGGGTCTCTCCCCACCCACCACAGGGGTCACGGCAGGGTCGGCCCTCTGCTCGCACCCCTACCCCAAAGTCCCGCACAGCCCCGCCTGCCCGCCAGCGGCCTCCGCAGCAGGCCCTCGGGCGGGGGCCGCGCCGCTCATGCGCACCACTGGGCCCTCGGGGAGCCGGCCCCCAGCCCCGCCGGCCTACAGGGCGGGGATCCCGCGTGCCCCCCGCCCGCCTTACCTCTCTGGACAAGAGTGGCCAAGGAGAAAGCGAGGCAGATGAGGCACGCCCAGCGCCAGGCCACCATGGCTGGGAGCCGGCGGACGGGGCCCAGAGGAGCACAGTAAGCGAGAGAGAGCCCGAGGGGGAAGGTCGGGGAGGAGTAGGGAAGGAGGAGGAGGAGCAAAAGGGGGAGGAGCCCTGCCCTCACTGCAGGGCCCCGCCCAAAAGTGGCGCGCGCGCGCGGCGCGGCCCTGGGAGGGCGGATGGGAGCGCGCACGAGCTCTGGCGCCGGGGCGTGCCGGACCGGGTGAGGTGGGGCGGGACCGCGACTGTGGCGCGAGGGGCGGGGAGAGCCTGCAGCCTCGGGGACGGGGCGGCTGCGCGGGGGGCGGGGCCACAGCCTGCGGGCGGTGCTGGCGCTTGAGCGGCGTGGTCCGCGGGCACCCGGCAGGTCGCGTGGTCTGGGTCCGGGCCAGCGCCGGCGCGCGACCTGCTGGCCCCGTCACACCCCGCCCTCGAGAAGGGAGTCTTCGAGGTGGGCCCTGCGGCCCTGGAGCTGTGAGTCAAAAGTGACTGGGGACTCCAGTTAAAATAAATTATTTAATTAAAAAAAATTTTTAAGTGACTGGGGAGCCGGAGGCGCCGGCGTTGAATGTGTGCAGTGGTTTCCACCCGGCGCGCTGGACACCTCCAGGGCCAGGAGCTGGACCCGAGGCGGCGCACGAGCCTGGTGCGTTCTGCCTGGTGACCTTGGACAGGGCTCTTCCCCTTGTGGCCTTGGTGTCCTCCCGGTCAAGAGCTGTTCCCTAGGGGTCCCTCCAGCTGCGGCGCCAGGACCGGGCACCCGCGCTCCTGCCCCTTTCACCTTGGCCGAACTTGCTTGTCAGAACCGTGGCTGGAAACGAGCCTGAGGCTGGGGGCCGCGGGTTCAGGCTAGAGGGAAGTTGGGGGGCGACCTGCAGCCAGCGCGCCGCGAGCCCCGGGGACGAAGGAGGGCCAGGGTCAGCTCCCCGAGGCTTTGATGAATGCGTTGAACGCGCCAGTTCACATCTGCAGAGGCGATCTGTAAACGTGCTCAGTGATCGACACACGCGCCACGTTCCTTTCTCATGAACCCCTCAAACAGAGTCCATCTCCAGGACCTGGCGAAATCAGATTCCTACACTGACTGTCACAGCAAAATGCCAGGTGCAGCCTTTGAAGAGAGCGCTCTCAATAAAGGCTTTGGATGCAGCCAGCTTTCAAAGACAAAGAGAAAGCGCCGCTGCTCCCAGAGTCGTCTAGCTTGTCCCTGCTGTTATTCAGCACAAGCTGTCCCGGACCACATCCTGCTGGGGGTCGGCTACTGCCATTGCCCTCCAGTGTCCCCTTGGTAGGCTTCCTGTGTCCCCCACCAGGCCGCACCTCCTTGCCCTCCCCCCAGAGTCTTCTCCCACCCTCTGAGCCATAGTGCTTGGGTGGGGGTCTCCCTGACATGGAGCCAAGATCTTTCCTTCTGTGACTTCTATCCATTGCTCTGAATTCTTGGGCCTGCAAAAACAAAACATGTAAAACTAACACATTCTGACTTTCAAGGCATTTCGTACTCTATGACACTGGCAGGAGAATTAACAGAAATAGGTAGTGCTTATTATAACACACACAGTATACATGGCATATTCCAGGCATTTAATTCTTTTTAAAAAATTAATTTAGTTGGCATGTAGTTGCTTTACAGTGTTGTGTTAGTTTCTGCTGTATAGCAAAGTGCATTAGCTATATGTATACATATATCCCTCTTTTTGGGGTTTCCTTCCCACTTAGATCACAACAGAGCACTGAGGACAGTTCCCTGTGCTCTACGGTAGGTTCTCACTAGTTACCTATTTTATACATACTATCGGTGGTGTATATATGTCCATCCCAGTCTCCCAATTCCTTCCATCCCCCTTCCACTCTGTACCCATACATTTGTTCTCTACATCTGTGTCTCCAGCTTTGCTAATTAGATCATCTATACTGTTTTTCTAGATTCCACATATATGAATTAATATATGATTTTTGTTTTTGTCTTTCTGACTCGCTTCACTCTGTATAACAGTCTAGGTCCATCCACGTCTCTAGAAATGACTCTGTTTTGTTCCTTTTTGTGGCCAAGTAATATTCCATTGTGTATATATACACACATATACAATATTGTGTATATATATATATATCAATCACATCTTCTTTATCCATTCCTCTGTTGATGGACATTTTGTTATTTTTTATTCCTACAACAACTTCATGTATCATCTCAATAATTAATGAGGGAAAAGGAGCAAAATGGAGGTTCCTTGAGGTTGGAGAGTTAAGCAGCTCCAGACCCTTAGTGTCAAAGGGATCAAGGGAATCCCCAGGGCCCCAGCAGGTGAATGGCTGAGCACATGTACTTGAGAGCCATGTGCAATCCTGGCTGGACACAAGGACATAAGGTTGTGCTAAGGATTAAATCAGATTGGAAAGCAGGCAGCCTGGGACACACTGAGCCAATATGCTACTTGTTACTCTTGTAATAGCTAAAGAAATACTGGCTACCATGAGGTTGGGTACTTGCTCTGTATTCCAGGATGCGAATATGGCCCCAACTTTCCCACTAACTCTGGGTGCCTTGAGCCATTCCCTTGCCCTCAGTCTTCAGGGATCCTGCCTATAAGGAAGACACTAGACGTCATGTTTTTTTGGAGCCCCCCAGGCCCTGATGGGTGAACCTCAGCACCTACACACTTATCTACACTGAGAACACTTGAGGAGGTGAGGAAAATGCAGCCTCTAGGTGAGGCATCTGAATCAAACGCAGCTGGGGCTCTAACTGGTCTAACTGGTCTAACTAGGCTCTAACCTCAACCCCAGCAGCAAGTCATTGGCCACAGTGAACAGGCAAGAGGACTGTCTTCTGGCTCAGAGGTGCTTGGCACACTGGCCTGTGGGTCAAATACAGACCACCATCCTGTTTGTATGACCTGCAAACTAGGAATTGTTTCAGTTCAGTTCAGTTCAGTCACTCAGTCATGTCTAACTCTTTGTGATCCCATGGACTGCACCATGCCAGGCTTCCCTGTCCATCACCAACTCCCAGAGCTTGCTCAAATTCATGTCCACTGAGTCAATGATGGTCATTCAAACATCTCATTCTCTGTCATCCTTCTCCTCCTGCCTTCAATCTTTCCTAGCGTCAGGGTCTTTTCCAATGAGTCACTTCTTTGTATTAGGTGGCCAAAGTATTGGAGCTTCAACTTCAACATCACTCCTTCCAATGAATGTTCAGGACTGATTTCCTTTACGATTCACTGGTTGGATCTCCTTACAGCCCAAGGGACTCTAAAGAGTCTTTTCCAACACCGCAGTTCAAAAGCATCAATTTTTCAGCACTCAGCTTTCTTCACGGTCCAACTCTCCCGTCCACTGGAAAAACCATAGCTTTGACTAGACAGACCTTTGTTGGCAAAGTAATGTCTCTGCTTCCTAATATGCTGTCTAGGTTGGTCATAGCTTTTCTTCTAAGGAACAAGCATCTTTTAATTTCATGGCTGCAGTCATCTGCAGTGATTTCGGAGCCCAAGAAAATAAAGTCTGTCACTGTTTCCACTGTTTCCCCATCTAATTGCCAGGAAATGATGGGACTGGATGCCATGGTCTTAGTTTTTTGAATGTTGAGTTTTAAGCCAGCTTTTAAGCCAGGAATGGTTTGGGCCCCTTTGAGTGGTTGAAAAAATCAAAAGAAGTTTATTCCATGACAGGGGAAATTTACACAAAATTCACATGTCAGGATCCATGAGATTGGTGGGAACACAGGTGGGAATTCATTTATGTACTGTCTACAGCGGTTTTTGTGCTACCACAGCAGAATTGAGTAGTTGTAACAGAGACCATGGAGCCCACACAGCGTAAAATACTACTTCTCCCTTTACATAAAAAAATGTGTCACCTCCATTCTAGCAGGTTGAATTATGCCAAGGATGAATAGGTGATGATGCAGAGCCTAAAGATTGTGCTCCTGTAGAGCAGATGAGCACAGGAGCTGACACAGAAACAAGAACCAACAGAAAAGGATCGTGTTTATCATGTGCAAAAAGACACCCACTCAAAAACAAAACAAAACAAAAAACAACAGGTCTTTAGTCAAAATACTGCAAATGTCCAAGGTTAGTTATCCTGCCAGATAACTTTCCCTGTGTAAAATGACTCATCTGAGGCCTGGTTTGTCTCTCAGTCTCTTATAAGATAGGTTACTGTAAGTCTGAGAGAGCCAGGGACATCAGGTCCTGATCCTGCTGTTCTGAGGTCCTCCCTGGAACTTGGAGAGCCTCTTAAGTAGCTGCTCCCCTATAGAATTGCAATTGATTGTGGACTTGGTTTACATCCAGGAAATTCTAAATTTAGAAACCATGAGCTGTGGCCCCCCATACACAGGCACACACACACTCCCCACTGCCACTGCACATGGGTGCTGGGACCAGTTCCTGGCCAACTTCTTGTATCCTGCAAATTGTCACCAGTTGTAAAACCATTTGGGCTGACAAGCTCCTCTCCTAAAAAGCCCACCTTTCCTTAGCACTGACCCAGGCAGAGAAATGTGACATGAACAAATGGCTACCAGGCTCGTCTGGGAGTACAGGAGAGGCACAGAGAAAGCTGGGAGGGTGTACATTAATCTGAGCTAAGTAGGGTTCTAAGGGCAGCCTGGTCCTCCATCATGGCTCACCCTTCTGTCCCCACCCTCATTACACACTATATCTTTAGGGAGATGTGTTCCAAACTCCAAAACAGCTGTTCTCTCACTATTATTAGTGCAGAACTCCTGTTCTTGCTTCCAAGTGCCACAAACTCCTCCTTGCAAAATTCCCTGAGGGGGCCTCCATCACCCATGGCCAAAATTAGACCCACCTGGTGACATCTGCCCACCAGGGCTCTGGAATGGCCTTGCCATCAGCTCCATCCCTGTTGAAGGTGCCTGTCTCGAAAGTACCACTGTCTACATCAACAGTACCAATTCCTGATCCTTGGGGCACCAGACTGGAGAGGGAGTCCACACGATGGGCAGGGACAAATGCCGTGCCCCACCCCAGGGTCACCCTTTGGCCCCAGGACCCAATGCAGCTCAGCCTGTGCTCAGGACGTCAATAGCCCTTCTGTCCGCTTCCTGTCCTCCCACAGCCTGGGTCCTAATCCCTTTAACCAAAGTAGTTTGAGGGCCCCGACTGGGCTCCAGAGTAGGTGAGAAAGAGACCAGCACTCTCCCCACCCACCCCGCTCCCCACGTGTGGGCCAGTTCAGAGACAAAGACGGCCCCCCATGCAAAGTTCTGGGAAGGCAGACAGCTGGCTTCTGGGATCAGGTGCACCGGGGTGCAACAGTTCCCCCAATGCCTGATAGCAGGGGCAAGTCTTCACCAGTCTCAGGTGAAAGAAGAAAATGACGTTGTTGTGGCAAATGTTCCCCACATAATGTGAGAGTACTGACCTTTATTCTGAAATCGTGGACTTCTTCGGGTATACAAAAGTCCTTTGTTTCATGAAAAGACGGTAGTGTTTTAAAGTGCTTACTTTGCAAAATAATAAGTTGGCAAGCCTGCCCATCCCCAAACTTAAAATAAATCCACTCACCAGTGAAATTCACAAGTCTGCAAAGCCATGGCTAAACCAGCAGTATTTAGCCCACCCAGGGCCCTGATATCTGGGGATTTGGGGGACACACCCCATATGTAAACAGACGCCGTGAAAATGGATTCTTAAACAATGTTCCCTCTCATATTTTCTGAGTTGTAAGCAAAGTATCCCTCCATCGCCTCCTCCTCTGCACAGTATGTTTGTATTCTCTCCTCTCTTGGATTCTCTAGTAAGGCAAGGTCAGGCGGAGCCTTGAATGCCATGCTAATGAGCAGAGCTTTGATCCTGAGAACCAAGAGAAGCCACTGGAGGGTTGTAACCACCGAGCAGCAGAAAGACAGGGAAAGAGAGAGGCGGGGCAAGGGGCCCACAGGAGTGGTTACTGGTATCCTCTCAGCAGAGAAGCTGGGAGCCTGGGGTTGATGAGAAGGGTTTGGATTCAGGGGATGTATGCGGCAGAGGCCACAGCGGCCATAGGAAGGAGGGGATGGCTGTGTGGGGCTGGCCCTGTTCTCAGGGAGAGAGGATGTCCCAGGTTCCCTGTGGGGAGGAGACAGATGACAAGCAGTCAGGGGATAGAGCAGTTAGAGAGGGGAGCACAGGACACTGTGGGAGCACCAAAGACTGGTTGTAGGGTCAGGAGAGCTGACTTAAAGGAAAAGCAACAGTTCGCAGTGCAGAGGGAGGGGCAGGAGTGTGTGGATCCCAAGATACCCGCTGAAGCAAAGGCCCAGAAACGAGCCTTTGAATTTGAATTGCCTGGAACCTGGTCCTGCAGGGTTCCTAGAGCAGGTGAAGCTTGGACTGTATTCAAACGCATCTGGGAACCCCAAAGAGTTTGAAGTGGGGCTGGGGTGAGGCTGCATGGTGGTGAGTTCAGATTGGTATTTCTAGGTTCCATTTGTTTCAGGAGACTCAGGACTCTGTTGTACAGAACCCAGCATCTGCCTCAGAAAATACCATGTACGGCAAAAACCACCACAATATTGTGATTAGCCTCCAATTAAGATAAATTTAAAAAATAAAAAAAAAATTTAATAAATAAATAAAAAGAAAATACTGCTCTGAGAGCCAGAGCCATTGAAGATTGACAAACTGGGGCAGGTGGGGAAGAGATTGGGCAGGGGTGTGGAGGCAGGGGGGAGGGTAAGAGCCGGGCTCAGGAAGGGGATTCGCTAGGATTCAGTTCTCCAGCTCCTTCGCTCGGAGACAACACAGTGTGGCTGGTCAGGAGCCCCAGCTTCACAGACAGTGGGCAGCAGAGTTGCTCACCCCGAGAAAGGACCCTTTGACCGAGCATTTTGTAATCCCATGCAACAAATTCCCAGGAGACCCAAATCACCTCATGCTTTTTGTCCCTGTTAGAATTCCCATTGGGGGTTTGAAGTGATTTCTTAACACACCAAGGACCATACAACAACAAGACGATCATGGCGATGATGGCCACAGTCACAACAATCTAGAAGGAAAAAAGACAGGTGCAAAATGCCAGTGGGTCACCATTTAGTTTCAAGTCTCCTTATGAAAAGGAGTCCTCTGCTCTTGAAATCTAAATGCAGAACACCCACTGTCTTCTGGAAACCTGCGTGCCAAGTGAAGCAGGACAAAACCTTCTACCTGCATATTTTCCCAATGCAAGAGACAAATAACTGATGTCCCTGTAATATTTGCAAGGCAGCATTTTCCATTCTGAATCCTGACCTCTGCAGAAATAGGACTTAACACTTGCCTCCCCAAATGTGGGCCTTATTTAACGTACCCAGTGAAGTCTCTCTGAAGTACTTGGGAGACTCAAACCACAAACACCAGCATTTGGCCTCTTTATTTCTTTGCATGTCATCTAAGCTGTCCAAGAAACCTCCCAGAAAAAGGTATAGAATATAAATGCAGAAACAGCATCCAATTAATAGTAATAACATTGTGTTCAAAAATATCTCTTGTTGGTTTTCAATAGGCATCACCTCCCTTTTGGGGCACCTATACATCAAACACCCCTGTGCACACATGCACAGACATACACATGCACACACACAGACACACAGGGTACTAGTGGATGTGATTTTAGATGTTATGGAGGCCCAGTCCCAGTCCACCCAGCAGATTAGTGATTCCGTTAACTCCTATGCAAGCATCAAAACTCTGTGTGACCGCAGACTTTTATCAGCTGGCCTGGGTAAACTAAGGCAACAATGAGGGCAGTCCAGATCTCCCTTGTGCAGGCTGCGTGAATTTGAACAAAGAATGATGACCATGTATCCACTGAGATCTTCAAGACTTCTCAGAGCTCTGCCTTCTCTCCATTCCCACTAAGATCACCAAGGAAACAGGGAATCTTCATTGGGGTCCTTCCTTCTCCTCCTGCTCTCCCAGCCAGAAAGAGTGGATCACAACCCTCCCCACAGTGCCTTCTTCCCATTGTCCTGGTGATGAGTCTAAGTTCTTGAGCTCGGCATTCAAGGCCCTGCAGGACCTGGCCCCAGATGACCTCTCCAAGTGGTCTTCTTCCCACCACTCCTGACCCCAGGTTCCAGCTTTGCCAGAGCACCCCATGCTCCCCAAAGCTGGGCATTCCTTCCTGCCTCTGTGCTTCTGCTCACACTGTCTCTTCTACCAGGCCCCCTCTTCCTCTCACTCTGTCCTTGATTCCTGGGCCGTCTCATCTACAGGCAGGTCACACCCACCTACTCCTCCTGGGAACCCAGACACATCCATTCGAAAGCCTATCCTGCATTGTCTAATGGCTTTTAAGAAGCACTGTGATGTCCAAAACAGGACTGTCCAGCCTTGTCCCCAAACTCACCCTGCCACTCTCCCACATGGTCCCCATCTCAGGAAATGGCACTGCCAATCTCCCAGTTGCTAGGACCCCAAACCTATGAAGCAGCTTTGAACCCTGTCCTACTCTCACCCACTCCATGATCGAATCCTGGAAGCTCTGCCTTCCAAACGTGTTAGGAATAACCGCATGGCTGCCTCCAGCTCATTCTCCACGCAACAACCAGAGGGAGCCTCTTAAAAGGTGAATCTAATCATAATTTTTCCTTTGCTTCAGGTGTGTCAATCTCATGTTAAAGGCCCTCCATCTCAGTCAGAGCAAATCTAAGATGGTGTCTTCCTGCCCTTCTCCACCAGGCTGGCTCCCCTCTAGCCCTCGGGCCTGACTGAAATGTACTGTCCCTTCCAGGCCAGGAAGCATTAGGGGCCCATCCTTTCTACTCCTAAGGCATCTCCACTGGACTCTACATCAGTTCCCGGCCTACTGCTTTGAAATTCGCTGTCTCCTTCCACTAGTCACCTAGTTCTCAACCCTGGTGACATGAAACAAGCATCAAGGAAATCTTTATTTTAAAAAATGGAGGTAAATTGTACCCTTTTAAGTATACAATGCAGTTGCACTGAGCACACTCACAGCATTACCTGACAATCACCTCTATTTACTTCCAGAATCTTTCCATTGCCCCCAAAGGAAACCCCAAACCCATTAGCAGTCACTCCCTATTTCCCCTTCCTCAACCCCTAGCAATATGCCAGCACATTTGGAAAACTCAGCAGTGGCAACAGGACTTGAAAAGGTGAGTTTTCATTCCAATCCCAAAGAAAGGCAATGCCAAAGAATGTTCAAACTACCACACAATTGCACTCATCTCACACTCTAGTAAAGTGATGCTCAAAATTCTCCAAGCCAGGCTTCAACAGTACATGAACTGTGAACTTCCAGATGTTCAAGCTGGGTTTAGAAAAGGCAGCAGAACCAGAGACCGCACTGCCAACATCCACTGGATCATCGAAAAAGCAAGAGAATTCCAGAAAAATATCTACTTCTGCTTTATTGATTATACCAAAGCCTTTGACTGTGTGGGCCACAACAAACTCTGGAAAATTCTTAAAGATATGGGAATACCAGACCACCTGACCTGCCTCTTGAGAAACCTGTATGCAGGTCAGGAAGCAGCAGTCAGAACTGGACATGGAACAACAGACTGGTTCCATATAGGGACAGGAGTACGTCAAGGCTGTATATTGTCACCCTGCTTATTTAACTTATATGCAGAGTACATCATGAGAAACGCTGGGCTGGAAGAAGCACAAGCTGGAATCAAGATTGCCAGGAGAAATATCAATAATCTCAGATATTCAGATGACACCACCCTTATGGCAGAAAGTGAAAAACTAAAGAGCCTCTTGATGAAAGTGAAAGAGGAGAGTGAAAAAGTTGGCTTAAAACTCAACATTCAGAAAACTAAGATCATGGCATCCGGTCCCATCACTTCATGGTAAATAGATGGGGAAACAGTGGAAACAGTGGCAGACTTCATTTTGGGGGGTGGCTCCAAAATCACTGCAGATGGTGATTGCTGCCATGAAATTAAAAGATGCTTGCTCCTTGGAAGAAAAGTTATGACCATCCTAGATAGCATATTTAAAAGCAGAAACATTACTTTGCCGACAAACGTCCATCTAATCAAAGCTATGGCTTTTCCAGTAGTCATGTATGGATGTGAGAGTTGGACTAGAAAGAAAGCTGAGCGCAGAAGAATTGATGCTTTTGAACTATGGTTTTGGAGAAGACTCCTGAGAGTCCCTTGGACTGCAAGGAGATCCAGACAGTCAATCCTAAAGGAAATCAGTCCTGATTATTCATTGGAAGGACTGATGCTGAAGCTGAAAGTCCAATACTTTGGTCACCTGATGCAAAGAACTGACTCATTTGAAAAGACCCTGATGCTGGGAAAGGATGGGATGTTTCAAGAGAACAGCATCGAAATATGTATATTATCTACGGTGAAACAGATCACCAGCCCAGGTTGGATGCATGAGACAAGTGCTCGGGCCTGGTGCACTGGGAAGACCCAGAGGGATCGGGTGGAGAGGGAGGTGGGAGGGGGGATTGGGATGGGGAATACATGTAAATCCATGGCTAATTCATTTCAATGTATGACAAAAACCACTGCAATGATGTAAAGTAATTAGCCTCCAACTAATAAAAATAAATGAAAATTAAAAAAAAAAGAAAAGACCCTGATGCTGGGAAAGATTGAAGGCAGGAGGAGAAGGGGACGACAGAGGATGGGATGGTTGGATGGCATCACCAACTCAATGGGCATGAGTTTGAGTGATCTCCAGGAGTTGGTGATGGACAGGGAGGCCTGGCGTGCTGCAGTCATGGGGTCGCAAGGAGTCAGACACAACTGAGCAACTGAACTAAACTGAACTAAACCCCTAGTAACCACAAATCTCCTTTCTGTCTCAATGGATTTGCCTATTCTGGATAATGGATGCAAATAAATTGTACGATATTTGACTTTTACGTTTGGCTCCTTTCATACAGCATAATGTTTTCTCAGTTCATCCATGTTGCAGTGTGTATTAGAACCTCATTTTTAATGGCTTAATAATATTCCATTGTGTGACTATACCACATTTTGTTTATCCAGTCATCAGTAGATAGATATTGGGTTCTTTCCAGTTAAGGGCTATTATAAGTGATGCTGCCATGAACATGTATGTAAAAGTTTTTGTGTGGGTATAGGTTTTCATTTCTCTGGAGTCTGTACCTGAATTGCCAGTTATCAGGGAAGCTTTCAAAATTACCCCCTGCCAGGCTTCCCTTTGTGAGATTTTGATGTACTTGGCTGGGGTGGGGTAAGGCACTCCTGGTTTTCTAGAGCCTCCCCTGGTAATTCTAATACACAGTGAAGGCTTAGAATCACTGAGACCATGGCTGGTCATTAGGGCCTGTGGGCTAAGAGTCACCTACTGCCTCTGTTCACATGGCCTGCCAGCTAAGAATTCTTGAGAAAAATAAAAAGAACAGTATTTTCTGACACATGTAATGATGTGACATTCAGCATCCCATGTCTATAAATAAAGTTGTATTGGCACATTCACCTACTGTCTATAACTGTGCCACCAGGACAGAGCTGAGTAGTTGTGATAGAGACCGTATGGCCCACCAAACTGAAAATATTTACTATCCAATCTTTTACAGAAAAGGTTTGCTTTCATCCATTCAGAGTCCTCTCATCTTTGTTCTTTCAGCAGCATTGGCACAATTGATCGCTACCGTCTGGAATACTTTCTTCCCCTAAGAGCTGGAAATCTGCTCTTTTCTGGAGCTGCCTGTCTGGAACTAAGGGCTGTCCCATGTGGGTGGACCTGGGTGCCCAGTTTTCGGGAGCTGGGCCACTTCTACCCCTCATATGGGTGCTGGGTACGCAGAAGGGGGTAGGGGAAGGTGTTCAGTGATCCCTCTGAGGCTTTGGGCAGCTCACTCTCCTTCTGGATTGGACAAGACTCTCTGAGGTCACTTGCAGTTCTGGTTCTGGTATTCAGGTCTCTGGTAGTCATAGCGCCAAGCACTGTCACCTGCATCACCCTGTCAGTGTCAATAGACATTGATAAGCACGGATGTAATCTGTTCTCATAATGAAACACTGCTGCTGCTACTGCTAAGTCACTTCAGTCGTGTCCGACTCTGTGCGACCCCATCCCTGGGATTCTCCAGGCAAGAACACTGGAGTGGGTTGCCATTTCCTTCTCCAATGCATAAAAGTGAAAAGTGAAAGTGAAGTCACTCAGTCATGTCTGACTCTTCGCGACCCCATGGACTGCAGCCTACCAGGCTCCTCTGTCCATGGGATTTTCCAGGCAAGAGTACTGGAGTGGGGTGCCATTGCCTTCTCCGAATGAAATACTACTCAACCATATAAAGGAACAAAATTTCTACATCTGAAACTAACACAACTTTGTAAATCAACTACACTTAATTTTAAAAAAAGAAAAAGAGTTTGATAGATACTACAACATAGAAGGACCTTGGAAACTTATGCTTAGTGAAATAAGCCAGAAACAGAAAGACAAATATTGCATGATTCCACTTACAGGAAATATCTAGCTAGAATAGGCTAATTTATAGAGACAGAACACAGGATAGAGGTTACTGTGAGCTGGGGGTTGGGGAAAAGGTAACTGTTATTTAATGGGTAGAGTTTATGTCAGAAATGATGAGAAGTTTGGGGTGTAAATAGTGGTGGTGATTAATGTAATTAATGCCACTGAATTGTGCATTTATAGATGGCTAAAATGATAAATATTATGTACTATATTTTACCACAATTTTTTTAAAGGCTGTTTAAAGAGAAAATAAACCATGTGAGCTTCAAGGAAAGCACTTTGGAAGAGAAAACAGAAGGCTCCCGGACACAGGACAGCCAGCTGGGTACGGTTCCTACCACCTCACCTCCCGTCAGTGTTCCCCGAAGCTGCTTTCTTCCCCAGGCTTTCACCCTTTATTTCCTGCTTAGGCAGAGTCCGAAGAAAAAGAGGTTTTCATGTACCCATATCTCCTTTTATTATTCTCATCATTCTTTAGCTCCCTCTATATCCAGCCCATTTGTAATCACAGATCCCCACTCCTGCTTCCTGTCACTCTCTTTGGCCCATGCCCCAGTCTGCCAGGCCCTGGGAGTGACATTTGCCATGTGGCTCCTTCACACACTCTGGCTGCTGGTTGAGTTGTTGCTATGTCCACCATGCCAGTCATCTTAATGTTTGAATGTAATGTTCCACTGCCTCTCCCACATCAGGCCATGGGTCTGGGCATTCAATTCACAGCCTGCCTGGTCTTAGTGCATCAGGCTCAACAGGTGACCTCACTGCCCCCTGAACAGGTTTCATGCCTACCTGCCTCCATCGCATCTTCCCTTAGCCCCTCTATCCTGCTTGTTGTTGTTCAGTTGCTAAGTTGCATCCGACTCTTTGAGACCCCATGGACACTGGCTTCCCTATCCTTCACTATCTCCTGGAGTTTGCTCAAATTTGAAAGGGCATTAATCCTATCTTAGGGGCTCTACCCTCATGACTGTCTCTAAATCTTATTACCCCAAAAAGGTCCCAACTCTTAATACCATCACATTG